GGGGGGGGGAGGGAGAAGGGGTGTGGTTTCAGCTCCAAGTCTACCTACCCAAAATAAACACCTGGTGAAAAATGTTGCAGTTACTGAAAGAACAAAATATTTTTGATACCTTGAAACATTATTACTACTGTCATTTAAACACCCTTACATCTGTAGACAACAGCAAAATCTTTCAAGTTCTAAAAAAAACGTCTGTGTGTGAGAAGCTAAACTGGTCTAGAAAACTGACAATACACATTCTGCAACAGATAAAGGAAATGCTCAGTGCAACAAACATCCAGTTACTGGAAGAGTGATGCATACTTTAGAGGACAGATCAAATTAAACAGCTTAAACAATCACTCAACCCTACACATGCAAAAAACAAGCCACCCCTTCAAGTCTGCCTTGTTACAATGTAAGCAGCTTCCCATGTATGCAACACAGTAACAAAATCCGTTAACCTAAATTACAGATATATACATATCAAAATATAGCCCAACATTAAGGCTGACAAGCTAACCATCAGCAGGGTCAGCTTTACAGTTGAAACTCCTGCAATAAGAGGTTAAAAACAAATGAAAATTCTTCTTACATGTTGACCTTTGACTTAACAAAATAACTGACATGGTCTTGAGTGATTTTCTTATGGACTGAAAAATCTGTACCTCTCTCTGACACAAATGATAGTTTTATTTTCCTCCTTCCTTCCTTAATTCTTAACTCTCTTGTCACTCCGGGCTACTCATTCAAAATACTTCAAGAACACTCCCAACCAGTTCCAGTGTTTATGCCTATTATTTGAAAACTGACGTTGTTCAAAGTCCTTTCATTCTTTCAAGTTCCAGATTCAGAAGTTATTAGTATTGTCATTGTATTTTCCCTTTGTGCTGAAAGTTTAATATCCACTAACTCTTAAAATCCACTCCCTGCTCCTCCAAGCATCCTGGCAATGTTCTTGCTGAGCCTCCTCCACTATCATGTGCATGAGTAAAAAGGCGACAACACTGGCAACCACCTTCCAAGGATGTGCAAATGCAAATGAAGGCAAAGCTGCCATTACTTAAATGTTGACTGGAACACAGGGAGCTGATGTAGGCACTATGGCTGCCACAAAGAAGGACAATGCAAGAAATTCCTACCCATCAGAGCAAGACCACCTTATAAAAGAATGCTCATTTTATTTTAGTGTGGCACATCATCAGTGAAAATTATTATATGATACAGGTACCTGTGAGAGCACCTGAATAGGTTCCAATAGCTCAGGGTATTACATTCAATGCTCTGCTTCCCAAGAAATATCAAGAAATATTTGTAATTTTTAGGAATTCTCTGAATTAATACACTGAAGTATTTTGGAAAAAAAACACCTTATCCTCACAAAGTACCTTTACATGAATGTCTCTGACAACGACATTTAATAATTCTAATTTAAATGGACATAAACTTATTTAAACTACAAAAAAAAGCAGCAAGCCAATTAAAAACATTGTTTTGAATGTATATGAACTATAGCATACAATTTTGACAGACTATTAAGTACAGGAATGCATGACTTGAACAATAACAGTCTGTCAGCCTACATAAAATGTGCTAACAGCTACAATGAAAAGCCATTGTTACAAAAGCACATCTCAAATAATTCTCTTTTCAAGTGTAAGGATGGTCTTTCAAATATTAATAAAGAATAAACCAATAATTTCATTTTAAATGGAATGTTTAAGAGTGCTAAGCTAACAATGCCTTTAAGTATTAAAGGGAGTGCCTCCAAATCCAACACTAAGTCCAGATGTTGTGAAAAGGAAGAACAAATCCATTTTCTCATGGTAAACCAACATATACACTAACTCATTCTGTGAGGAAATACCAAGTAATCTGAAATTATCAAAGCACCATATACATCCCAAAGCAGATCAATTAAACCAGCAAATTCCATAATGCTGCTCTTTGTTACATACTAAAAGACATTTTGGAGAACAAAAATAAAGCAAACCAGACCTGCCTCACTTTCAAGATATGTCTATAGAAATATTACACTGTATACAGTGCAACAAGCTTAATGGGAAAACACTACATAGAAGCATTTCTTTGCCCAATTTCAATTACTATTTTGATTTCTAGTCATAAAACACAAAAGAAAACTAAGTAACATTAAACCTCTAGAAATAGCAGGGATAAAAGTACAATAAAGACAGTGTGGCATATTCTCTATGGTTTGCACCAGAAGTGTACATCCATAAATACCTAGTGTGATACATACCTTTTCTAAAGAAAAATTAGAACACGAGCCGTCAGACAACCAACCACCAGCCGCTTTTACTTTAGCTGTGCTTTTTGTAGGACTCTTTTTTACACTGTCACGTAGGTTTGTAAATTTTCCTCTGTGTTTGGAAGACACTGGCAACGTAGATGAGCTAAAAGCTGCACAAGTGCTCCGTGCCTGCTGCTGGTCCTGGAAAGGCTGCTTTGGCTGCATGTGAGGATTTTGATGTATTTCCATTCTTGGGCTCCTTGTTAAATCAGTGAGTTTGAGCGTTCCCATTTCACTGCCATCTGTAGTACCACAGTATTTGTGGTCCTGACAGTGAGTAGTCATGAAACCAGTAACACAGTCCTTCTTGCAAAAAAATGGAAGGAAAATAAATAAAAATATTGCTTCCTGAGAAAGTTCAAAATATGATTATTTTTTTTCTAGGTTATGGTCACAGGAAGGAACACTAAATGCTGGTTTAGCTGTTGTGTACTCGCTCACACTATTTAGAGAGCACCATTGAACCACCACACAACAGTCAGTTTGCTGGCCACAAATAATCAATGCAATGCACAGATTATTGAATAGATGGCAAAAATCATCTGACTACTTGTTAAAAAGATGGTTTGAAAGGTTGCAGTTATTTTCTTTTTCCATAAGGTCCTACTATCCCCTAAATGGTTACATTTTACCACCTCAAGATTGCTCCACAATTTACATGTAGAAAATTAAAATATATACCAAGTTCTCTACTTTTCTGAATACTTTACAGGGTCTGTAAACAAATTCATTTAAAGCAGCTTCTGA